CCTGTAATTGTGAATACTTATCCTCTACCTCCCCCTGTGTGTTTGTTAAATGATATTAAGGATTGTTTTTTGGATTCATGATAAATTAAAAAAAAACAAATGCATTTCCTTAAATCTTGGGTTTCGTTGGCTGAAGGTCAGTTTTATTGACCTCTAAATCATCAGTTACTGAGGATAAACACTGATGTTTACTGCTAAACACAGGCTGTTTTGTGAGAATGCTGCTCACCTTCCAAACTGCAGAGGAAAATGTTTCTGGATGCGGTAGAAGAGTTTCTCCCCTGAGTCCAGCTCCACATAGAAGTACGGCGTCCCTGGAGGGGCAATCTGAACACACATGCTTAGTGCAGCTTCTGTATCATGTTCAGGAATTCCATAAGAGCGAATATGAGAAGAAAAACAACTGTGCACACTGGCACAGCATGTGCGGCTTTCTGATCCCGGTTTATGAGCTGTGTGTCAACGCACGTACCTGTTTGAGGTCTGTGTGTTGAGGGATCTCCATCAGCTCCATCTGTTGCTCCTGAGCGTGGACCGTGAACGCGTCCTTGATGTCCTCTGTGATGCAGCGGTCCAGCGGCACTGGGACGACCTGAACAACAACAGCAGAGACCAAACCCTGTTGCATCTGAAGCCACCAGGGCGTGAGCAGTAACACAAACTGCCTGCGATCATAAAATGATATCTAGAGCTTCTTTAGATCAATTCCTTCTGTTCTTTATTAAAATAAAGAAACAATACAGAGAGACAACATGATCAATTCCTAGGGGAATTCTAATTAATGATTTTAAACAAATAAGGTATTAACACTTAATATCCTTTGAATTTATAGAAAAGCAGAAAGTTTAGCTTTTTACTCAGATACGCAGGTTTAAGTGTGAAATAAGGCCAATAAATAATTATTACATACAGCTGAGAGGTCAAGTATAGGACAAGGAATTCAGATCGTTTATTTAAATAAAAGAACCAAAACAACAATGTAAAAATACACATAAAGGTCCTGCTTTAAAAATCCTCCTCAAAGTATCTTAGTATTACTGTCTACATGCCCCGGTGACCGATACATTAGTATGTATTTTATCCTCAGGGTTTTTAAATGCATTTTTCCTTAAGCACCACTTTTCTGTTGTAGCAGCTTTACTTTACTGTTGAGTTTATGTGGTAGAACAGCGGCAGCACACACCTGTGCTCTTCTTGTGAACTGTTCTCGAGTCTTTCAAAATCAAAGATTTGAAGCGTTTTTCCATTTTTGAGCCTCAGTGAAGTCAAACCACTTTAAGGAACTTAGAGAAAACGTCATCCAAAAAGATTTGATTACTGTATGCTCATCAAAAAAATGTCTTCTGAATGTAGTATAAAGTAGTAGAAACTGGAAGTATAAGTACCCCAAGATGTACTATAAGTAAATGTGCTTACTTTGCACCACTGCTGTTGATAAGAATATATTCCAACAGGACTGTACCACAAACACCGATTTTCAAATGTAACATAAACATTATCACCTTCAAGGAGGAGGATTTTTGGTAGGACTGTTGGACTAGACTGAGCTAGGTGTTCCTAATAAACTGGCAGTGAGTGTACTTTCAATGCTGAAAGCTACAGTGTGTGACTATAGAGTGTGACAGTGCAGAACCAATGATCCTACAGCGCAGCATGAGTAAACATTTTATACTGTGACTGTAACACAACAACCCGACAATGAGAAGATGTCGTGTGCTTCTACCTGTAGCTGCAGGTGTTGGCTTTTGTAATTTCTCTCAAACAGCACACAGCGCTCTCCTTTGCTCCTGTAGAAGCTCCTCAGGGCCGCCTTGTATTTCTCCATCTCCTCCACCACCTCTGAGCTCAGCTCCACCACGGACTGGTAGTGACCGATGGGGAGGATCAGCACATGGCGAGGAGTCAGCCCGCCTTTGGCCAGAGCCAGGTAGCACTGCACACAAACTCGCCCTGGTCAGCCCGTCACATTGTTACCTGTGCCACTGTGTGCAGAGCTTCCTATCTGATTATACACATAGGTGATATTCAGTAATGCAACCAAACTCACATGTGTTCCGATGCTGAAGACCAGGTGTTTCTCCACCTGAGGACTGGCCAGACAGAACCAGCAGGGACCAGATGGCTGAGCTACAAGAACACAAAATATTACAAAGTATTAAAACACAAGACTACATGCACCATTTGAACCTTTTTGTGGGTGTTCCATCTAGCTATGATCAGCTCCTGTTTGCAGTGTAACCAGTGTTACTGCATCACTGTGACACTGAGGAAACCTTTTAAACATGATGATTCTCAGGCAGGGTTTACTCTGAGGTGGGATTATAGTTTTCTCATGTGGACACCAGCGATAATGATATCCTGTGGAAGTGAGCGATATCACATGTGTCTCGTGTCTCCTACTGTCACTGCTTACGGTGTCTGCGGGGCTGTTTGGGCTGCCCCCGGTGGTGTCCGTCTCCGTCATGCTGCTGCTCTCGTCCTTCTCTGCCTGTCTGTCTCTTCCTGCCGCGGCCCCAAGGACCCCCGCCCTGCTTCGTGCTCAGGTCAAAGAAGAACTGATGGGGCGGCTCCTTAACAGACAACAGGAAGGACAGAGACACTTGATACAGAAGAACACAACCTGCTAGGCTTTAAGCAAGGATGTCTCACATGTGAGCCCTCATGGAACATTCACACGCTACCCAGCGGGACACACAGTGCCCATAAACAGCTGCTGCAGCGGTGGAGTGGTGTACACCATAATGCATTTACAATCTTGTAATATACATTATTCTGAAATGAAGTGATGCCAATTCTTTTATTTTTACTTTTTCCACTGTGGTATCACTACTTCTACTGAAGTCAAACATCTGGGGACTTCCACTGACTTACTTTTATTGTTAATCAAAGAGTCTTTACACTAAAACTGAACTGTTTTTGCAGCAGAACTATGCATGTAATAGTGCTGCATGGCCACATTTTTACACACACAACCCCCCGTACCTCTTCTTCTGTGGTGTTCAGGCCTGTCTTTTGTGTGTCTGTTGTGTCTTTCGTGGAGCGCCTGTAGGGGTTTTCTGTCACATCCTGTGGCTGCTTCACCAGCTCTGATGGGTCCATGACCTTCATGGGGATTATGTTGAAGGCGTACAGGTACTGAGGACAGAGAGCTCAGCATGTGATGGTGTCACTGTATGGCAAGGGGTTTCAAAGGTTCAACTACAAAACCTAACTTCCAGTTGTGTCTAAGGATCCAGCATGACGTATGGGACTCTAATGCCTACATAGCTGGCTTTAATAGCATGTGATCATTTAACCACAGACTGATGTGCGCACACACACCTTCTTCTTGGCTGGGTTGTTGACGGGCGCCAGTGCGATGAAGCGGCTGACGTGCTGAGCGTTTTCCTGGAGAACAACATGATTTCTGAAGATGAGAACAGAAACATGAAAATCACATAACCTACTTTGACAAAGGGTGATTGAGCAAATGTAAACCACTGGTATATGTATCACATAGTAGCGGTGGCAGTTTTTATGCTGTACATAAGCAAACACACTAAACAAATTGAAAATACTCCATTGAAAACTTCAAAGTAAACAAGTATTAACAGCAAAATGTTAAAGTAGTAAAAGTAAAAACAGTTCACACACTGTCGGACAGAAAACCTGCCTGGCAGAGGGTGTTCACAGTCAGTTCACGCACTGCAAAGTATTCTCACTGATGGTGTAGACAGGAAGTTAAAAGATAAAAGAATCTGAGCACTTCTTTGTTAAAACTTCTCAGGTCAACAGAGAGCCGTCCACAGGTGTACACTGTACCTGTAAGGGAGTCTCTCATAGTGAGCGCCCTCTAGTGCAGCAAAGTGGTATCGTGGTCTCAGTTTTTCTGCGAGGCTGGCCACTGAACTGCTCCCACAAAGTTTTGTGTTCACTTCCTGCAGCAGACACACATGAATACAAAAGCAGAGCCTTTAAACTCAAGGCTCGGCCACAAAAATCTCCATTCAGTAGTATTTGTTATTGTGGATTTGAAGTCTTGGTTACGGGGTTGTTTGCGTAGTGCCACACTCCTCGGGGCCACTGTGACGTCAGCAAAATGTCGACCCCTCTGAACTTGGAGCTGCTGGTCAGCGGAGCCACGAGTGCTGACAGATCTTTGGATGTGAAGCAGTGAGCCGGGGCCGGCTCCTGTAGGGCCTCCCGGCCGCTGACGTAGACAATCTGTAGTCCTGACACGCCTGTGAACACCCCTCGACGACCTAAAACACAGACCATCAGTGCCATTTCACTGGATAAGAATTGTTAGCTGTAGCCCTAGAGAGCAGCCACAAGTGAGGGAAACATGGGTGCAGTGAAGGGCCTTGCAAGCTCCTACCCAGATACGTGATGTTCTCAGCCAGCTCGCAGCCGTCAATACTGGGGAAGTTCTTCAGCGTCTCCTGGCTTGCTGCTCCCAGGATGAAAGTGTGGATGGGAGCTGAGCAAGCACAAAAGACACAGAAGACTTTTGTTAAAAAAGAAATCCTTCCACAAAAAAATGGAATACCAGCTTTAGGTTTCTCATTTCCTAAAATGGATTCTGGAAAAGTGTGACCAGTGGAAATCAGTGCAACAGCTGGTTAATCCAGATGTTCATACCTTTCTTTTCTCTAGTTTTGTACTCCTGCCACTCTGCTTCGGCCTCTGGTGTCGTTCCAAAAAACTCTCCAACACACAACAGCAACTGTGGAAAAATGGCTCCAGACATCAACTTAATGACAGTGTAGCAACAGTGGGAAGTACATTTTTACAGCATTTTTACATTGTTGCTTTGGTAGCAAATATCTTTATACTACTGCAGTGTAGCAATTATCAAACTAGTAGGTGTATTTTACCACCTTCAAGCTGACTTACTGTTCAACTACTGTAACAAAAACACAAAACTTTAAATCTCACATCAAACTGTCCAGTCTTCTTCTGGATGGCCTGGACACGACTGAACAGAGCATTCAGTCTGCCTTCAACATCCCCGCACGCCAAGCTGGAGACAGGCGCACATTTTAATATTTCAACACAGAACTATGCCAAGGTTTCAGCCACTTTATATGTTTCACAAAACCATTTGCTATTTTATGTCTTCTGCTTTAGCTAGTCAATAGAAAGGGTTGTATTTTAAGTTTGAAAACACTCCTTTAGTGAAGAAACATCTGTAGAATGTCTAAAGCCCTACACAGTATATTAAACTTATATCATCATACTGAGGCATAAACAATAAGGTAAACAGTAAGTACATATATACTGTAGCTGCTCTAATCATCAAATCATAACACTCCTTTAAGGAAACATTTTAGACTCCAAATATCTCGTAGTTAGTTTCTGTTGGCTGACACTGTGAAAAGAGTAACATCTATCCCAAAGCTCAACCATATTCTCTGCCCAAACACTGCTGCAGTTTCTTACAGCCAGCAATACCTGAGGGGTGCCTTGGTCGTTGGTAAACCCATACAAGCAGATTTTAAAAACACCATTTAGATGCGGCAGGTATAACCAAACCCTGCGCTTTACATTAGTAGCATTTAAAATGTATAAGGCATCCGGTTTGTAACCTCTGTAAACTCTACACCGCAAATTATCGAAATTTTGAATTAGGTCTGGCGAGGGTGGTCGCGTTTCGTATAGATTTATATGGACTCTGGTCACAAATGAAGCAATTTAACTCCCTGAACATTAACCATGTTATAACGGTATCTAGAAACCCCCGTTTGCCCATCATATTCACAAAAAACCTTCATAAATGTGTTTTAGCGTACACCTTGCACACATGATAAAATTCAAAACAAAATCAACTATCACAAAATCAACCACAACAACATTTAAACACACGGAACATTGTTGAAAGCATAAAGTATCTGTAGTTAAACTTACACTCTCAATGGCTGTTCTCCCATGCCTTGGCTAAATTATAGATGTAAGTTTAAAATGTGTGCCTTTGGTTTTTGCAGCTTACAGTTTTTGTCCGTCACCAATAGTCGTCTGTCTGTCACAACAGTGGAACTACTTGTCTAAAAAAAACTCACTTGTTTATCTACAAACGCACTAAGGGATTAATATCAAACACTATTTAAATTTGTTTAGTGTCCGTTTAGATTTTAAATATTAACTACACGTTGAGTAAGTCGATAAAAAAGAAAGAAAACGAGTCAGGGGTTGCTACCAGTTGTTACCCGGACATTATTAAAGTGGGAAGGGTGGTTGCCAGGTTTGATTCTCACAATCAAAGGAAACTGTTTTCAATTTAAGAAAAAAAATTAACATTTTAGGAACATATAAGGTCCACGTAATATCTTTTTTTTTACAGAGCTTTCAACGACATACAAGTCTTCATTAGTGATCGTGAATCAATATTATTTCCAGGGATAATTACACAAAACAATTATATTTATTTTTGATTTCTATTCTAACTTTAAGTCTTAAAATGCAACATAAATTAATTGCAATTATACATAAAATGTGTTTAATGCCCTTTAATTGTTGCACTACACGATTCAGCAAAATACAAATCTAAAAATAAAATGTATATATATTCACGCTGCTACAAACAACATGACCATCTGCTGTACTTTCATTTACCCTTATAGGTGTTTGCATCTCTTTATATAGCATTCTGTGTCTTTATGGTTTCTTTGTCACTCTTTTCTTTAGCTTTATGTCTCTTTCATGTCGTTTTACTTTTCTTTGCAGCACACTGACCCCTTGAATCCCAATGCATTATTTATTTTCATAAAATGTAGGTCGCAATGTAAAAAGAACGACAAGCGAACATGTGAAATGAATAATCTCATATTAAATCAAGAGTAAATATAACCATTTTAGATTTTACAGACACACACTACGTATAACATAATCCTTGAGTTTACGGATAATTTCCATATCTGGCAACCCAACGACTGGCCCTCGGATGGCCGAGCCTCCATCCTGGCACTTACCTTCATCCTGGTAACTCACAAGTCCCCGGACCAAAAACAGGAAGTAAGTATCCAAATCAAAAGTAAAATTCACTTTCTGTTTGGTAGTGGTACCCGGGGGAATGCGCAGAGAAATTTTAGCGTGGGAAAAATCACCACAAAAACAGAATAAAGCGCCAGAAATAGTCAAACCAGTACGGACGCCATAAGCTTCGCCTTGTCGACTAACATGGCGGCGGAGATTTTTCGTCTTTCATTCAACTTGGCTAGCTTGCTGGACGCTAACGGTTAGCATTGTGTAGGGGTTCGCAGATGGCCGGACGCTGTCTTCTGGAAGCATTCTTTTACATAACTACACTGCTGCTGATGTGTTTTCATACCTGTGTATTTTAATGTTGGTGTAACTAAACATAAACCACATCCATCTTTGCGCTGAATCCCCGTGTTTTCGCTACTGTTCCGAATATTCTGGTTGATTGCCAAATAATAAGCACAGTCATAGTTTTTAACTCAAGTAGAACCTTTTAAAAGCGGCCCAGCGTGCAATTTGCCATACATGCTGTTCAAAAAGCACATCACATTTAGGTCAATTATAGCCAAACTACTGGCTGGTTGCACTGAAATCAGTAGATGGCGGTAGCGAGCAGTTCAAGCTCGATAAAACAGTTGTGTGCTAAAGTTTGACCAAATTGCATATTTTGTTTATTTCTTTTAAGCCAATAGATATAAAGACAACCCCTGCAGCAAACGGACATGTCTTCAAATGTTAATCTGCTGTCATTTTTTACTTTATGAACTACAATTAACAAAAATTGTGGCATGTGCAGAGGTTTGGGCACCCTAGTAAGGCGGTACATAATTACACTATTTGACAGCTATCACAGTTTGCTAACAGTTTTTAGAGATTTTCTTGATGTATGGGTTGCCACCCACTCTTCCTGCAAATCACATTAAATTCTGAGATATTTTATGGTGTTTTGCACACACAATATGTTTTAAGATCTGTAACCGTAATCCAGCCTTGGTGGTGAGAATTAAATATGCTTGCCTTCCTCATATTTATGACCTGTGTTTGCTGTGAGGTCTGCATTGATAACACTAAGCTGTAGCTGTGCATTAGCAGTGAATGTATTTAACTTATCACCAGGTACAGGATGAGTTCAACAGCAGAGGAAGAGGAGGCTGCACCGTTAGAGACAGTCAAGTCTGTCACACTTACTCAGAACAGTGATGGAAGCATCATACTGCACTGTCCTCCCAATGGTGGGTTTGGCCTGTTTTACATCTTTATCTTTTCTGGTTTCCTCTCATCATCTCAGAGCTTTCATAGACATGGATTACAGTGTTTACTATTGAGCCTACTTGCAGCCCCATTGTAAGTAAAAAGCTGACTGCAGGTGTGATAATAAAGAGCTCTTGCTGTGTGTGGGTTAGATGAGGAGTCGGAGCCACTTCAGAAGAAACTGCGTCTCTCTACAGAGGAACAGGAAGACTCGGGCACACCTCAATTTTCTGTGGTCACCTTACCGAGTGAGACACACACGTTTTTGAATTTATATCACTGGTACACCTTCAGTGTTATAAGCTTCAACTAAACCAAACGCTCAGATAATCCCTCATTTCAAAAATGTCCTCTCAAACTCAATTTCTAAGTGAGATAATTTCTTCTTCTTCTTCTTTCGGCTGTTCCCGTTAGGGGTTGCCACAGCGAATCATCTGTTTCCACCTAACTCTATCCACAACGTCCTCTACTCTCGCCCCAATTAACTTCATGTCCTCTTTTAGCACACTAAGTGAGATAGTTTGTAGATTTGAAATTAAGCCTGACTTGTTCTGCGTATGTATTCAGATCAGATCAGTGTTATCAACATGTTTATCAACCCAGATCTTTTTGCTTCTGGATTTTGGTAAATGTTAAGAAACTGTATTAAGAGAAGATCACTGGGAGCCAAATCTGAGTGTTTCTAGGGAAATCTAAACAGTTTTCACACAAGTTTTTGGGGGCATTTTTGTACTTTGTACACATCTACTAGACCTGCGGGTAATGTATTTGCTTTTAATGCTTCTTGTTTAAATTCTGATCTGTAAATCAAAGCTGCTGAATATCCAGTTGTATAGATAAAGTTTTAGGCATCTGAAATTATTTTTTATAGGGCTGAGGCCACATTTATTTTTTTTTATAATTATAAATAAAGCCTACAAATGAATAGACCTTTTTTATATATAGGTAAAAATGTACAAGATATTCTGAGCGTTTCTTCTGCTTTAGTGGTGGAGAATGAAAAGGGCATCGAGGTGATGATGACGGCCACAGCCGATGGTGATCTCTCTGAGCACGGTGCTGCTCAGATTCAGGTACAGATAGCTGGAGGGCGTATAACGATCAGAATGGAAAATACTCATGCTTTCTGTCCTGTATCACTGTTGTGGCTGAGCAACTCACAACCTCAGAAATATATAAAACCCCATTTTCTCATTTTTCTGCACTGTCTTTGTGTGATTACTGACCAGTCTGAGTTGCTACTGTGTTTCTATCATGTGATGCAGTGACCAAACAGTCCCCATGGCTGCTCATTTCCCTCATTTCCAGCCATTTAATGTTTAATCTTGGGTACCTCTACATTAGCTCGGCACCCCTCATAACTTCAAATAGTCTGTAATTACTTCAGAATAATAAAACCAGAGAGCCTCTTTCTAAAAAGAATAGTTAGTGTATGCGTACACCTTCTGTTGCTGGTCAGGAAGATACGAAAAGGCATAAACAAAAAAAACAAAAACAAATAAGCTACGCTTTTGGCAATGACAGTACCTCAAATCCTACCTGACATGTTCGAGCCAAATATGAAAGTGGACAGCACAACGAACCATGACAACAATCAATATGAATGTCTCCTCCATAGATAGGTAAACAATGGTACATGTACCGATGAACAGAGATGTGTAACACTATAAACAAAGTGGATAATTGATAAACCCTATGTTTTAACTGTCATAATGCAGATGTAGTAACTTCTCCAGCCTTACAACAATTCTAACGTTACAGAAACAAGGCATTAACAGACACACAGCCTGTTTTTTAAACTTAGCATTAAGTCCCACCGAGTAGTGGAAACCGCTCTATTTCAAGTAGCTCCATGGTCGGTAAATCCAACCGGTGGTCATTGTGTCTTCCTCCCACGACCACATACAGTCCCAAAGTAGTGAAACTAATTCCAACAGGTAGTGTAGCACTGACAATAACATGATGGGTTGTTAATCCACTGGTTAACCAGCAACATATCACATGTGGCAGACACACTGGCCTGAAGCAGTCAGAACAAACAGGCGCTGTGCTCTGGGGGAATCCAGCGTTGATCAGCTGATCATTCACCGCCCGCGGGGGCTTCGCTGGCCAGTTGCTTGTAGGTTAGACCTGGTCAGGTAAAACAGCAAGGCCCTGTACAGAAATGCTCCCGGACATGCAGTAACCTCAGGCCCTGGTTTTTCTCCACATCCTCTGGTCACAGAGCAGCAGCAGGAGGGAGAATATCTACAAAACCAGTCGAAAGTATCAGCTTTTACAGTGTCATCGGTGGATGTCAGGCAAGCTCACATGAACATGCAATGGCCTGGAGATTATGACCATTCAAGGAAATCCTTAAATTATCATGTAATACTTTATTTTGTTAGGAAGAAAAAGTCTCATGAGTGAAAAGCTCCATGGGCTCTTTAATGGATTGATTGTTTCAGAACTGGTTGTAGTTTATGTTAATTACAGCCTCGATTTTTCCCAAAGGTTCATTTTTGACAGATTTGTGTCTGTGGTCTCACAAATGCCTTGTGTGTGTAGATTCTTCAGGAGGATGAGGACTCTCTCTCAGCCAATCAGAAGACAGATGTGTCACCTGTCAGTCAGGCCTGGTTCACTACAAAAGAAGACAAAGACACACTGGCTAACAAAGGTACACACAAGGGCATCCAGTGTTGTCCACTGGGGGCGTGGGAGGACATGTCCCCCTCATGTCCTCACTTCTCATTTTATTACTAAACATTATTATTCTGTTCAGCTGCCATGTTCCAGATGAAAGAGAAATGGAGGTGATAAAAATCTAAGTTCATGTTAGTTGCCTTCACTTTTCACTGTGCACTTAGACAATCAGGTGAACTAGCAGCACTGAGTGGTGCAGGGGGGTTTTCACCTCTCGTCCCCTGTTTTACTAGCTGTAACCCAACCCTCTAAGTGTTTTATTCAACATTTCTCCCACTTCAGGTCATAGGTGGAAGCAGGGCATGTGGTCTAAAGAGGAGATTGACATTCTGATGAGCAACATCGATCAATATGTAAAGGTATGTCACCATCTGTCTGAAGACTAGTTCTCTTTAGCATGTTGTACATATTTAGTATATTTGCTTCTCTATGTGCGTCTGTTTCAGGGCCGAGGCATCGAAGACCCAGCAGAGATCATTTTTGAGATGTCCAAAGAGGAGAGGAAGGATTTCTACCGCTCTGTGGCCTTGGGGTTAAACAGGCCGCTGTTCGCTGTCTACAGACGCGTTCTACGAATGTACGACAACCGCAACCACGTCGGCAAGTGAGTGTACGAAGGAAAAGATGATGGAAAACACATTCAGACTTTGTTTATTCTGTTTGTAATTTGTTCCTTTTCCCTGAAGATACACTCCTGATGAGATAGACAAGCTCAAAGCGTGAGTATCTCTTTTAATGTAAAAAAAAAAATCGCATCTAAGATTTTATTATTATACACTAGTGTATTGTTTACATCTGATATGTGTGTTCAGGTTGCGGGAGAAGCACGGGAATGACTGGGCGACTATTGGAGCAGCTCTGGGTCGCAGCGCCTCTTCTGTCAAAGACCGCTGCCGACTGATGAAGGACACGTGCAACACAGGTGCTGACCAGTGTGTGTGTGTGTGTGTGTGTGTGTGTGTGTGTGTGTGTGTGTGTGTGTCAACAACTTCCTCCTGCCTCCAGGCTAAGCTAAACATGTTATTAGTCTGTTCATCAAGAAGGGCTCCCAAAACATCAGACTGTTCCTTTAACTGTGCAGTAGAAATCATCAAACTGTCCAGAGCCCATCCTAAACACCTCAGACATTTTACTGGACCGTATCAGCAACATAAAGAAGATTGAAATGTACTCTACTCAGCTCTGCTGGGTTTGTTCACCTCCTCCATACAGGTAAATGGAGTGAAGAGGAGGAGAGACGTCTCGCTGAGGTTGTCTATGAAATGGCAGGTGTGTCACCGGGGTCAGCGGTCACAGGAGGTGTCTCCTGGGCGTCTGTCGCCGATCAGGTTCGGACGCGCTCAGAGAAACAGTGTCGGTCAAAATGGTTAAACTACCTGAACTGGAAGCACAGTGGAGGAACAGAGTGGATGAAGGAGGACGACCTGAATCTCATACGCAGGTAATGGGCTGTGTGCGCACATGTGTGTGCGCGCTATCAAAATTCCACTTCTACATGAATCTGTAACAATGTGTTTCAGGATATCGGAGCTTGAAGCAGAGGATGAGAATGGAATCAAGTGGGAGGATCTTGCAGGAGGGTGGAGCAGCGTCCGGTCGCCTCAGTGGCTGCGGTCGAAGTGGTGGAGCATCAAGAGACAAGTAGCCAATCACAAAGAGATCCCCTTCAGTGGTACACACACACACATTATTGTCTACATTTTCTCCTTGGCCTTTGATAAACCTGACCAAAGCATTAAATCTAAGGGTGCTAACAGAAATATGTCTCAGAGATCCTTTTTCTTGAAACGGCTGTAATGGATATTTTTACACCGACTGTGAAAACAATAATGAACCTACAGAGAAAGAGTAGATGACTCTGCGGATCCTCTTGGCTGTAGAGCTTTATAGCGAGTTTCAGCTCTTAGTGTCTTCAGCGTTTAGTGTCCAGACCGCTCTTACAGCTGGACGCAGCTGTTTCCAAAAGCCACTGTCCACGACCTGCTCAGGAGCAAACAGCAGACAGACCCAGTCAGAGACCAGCTGCTGAACATAGTGAAGCGTTTAGCAGCTGCAGAGCCAGAAGTTTCCCTCCGGAGGTGGTGGAGACCAAACACAGAGCTAACAGAGCTCGTTGTAAATGTTTCATTTACCTTATATGCAACTGTCTTTATACAGTTGGTTTATTTAGTTGGTGTGTGCATGTGTGCCCCCAGTCCTCCTGAAGGGCCTCCAGGAGCTGATGTCCTCACAGGCAGCATCAGGACCAGGCAACCCCTCCTCCTCCTCCTCCTCGCTCCAGATTCGACTCACCCGACTGGAGGAGAGCAGCATCAGCCCCGCCCCCGGCTCTGTGGCCGCACTGCAGATTCCCGTACAGATCCCGCTGCAGATCACACACCTGGGTGAGACTCCCTGTAGCATCTGTGCGTTCTCTTTTCTAGCTTTCAAGTCTTTTCATGTGTTCTGGGTCCAATTACACTACAGGTGTTTTTTGTACATCTGGCACTGAGCTGTGGCCAGTGAGTCCTGACAGTGGATCTCTTTGTGTTTCTCTGTAAGCCTCGGATTCAGCCGCAGTAGGCAGTGACAGTGAGACCATCTCTCTGAACACAGGAGCCCTGCAGACCTTTGAGATCCTGCCTGTAAGATTAGCTTCAAAGTGCAGTCACACTGTGTTAAACCTGATGTTAGCTGGAGTTTTGCAGCTGTATTTAGTGTTTATGAATTTGACAAGACTTTCCACCTTGTGAAGTCTTGATGATCAAGGCTTTGCAGTTTCAGCTTATTGTTATTAATTTAGTCTTAATAATAATGATATTTATGTGTTAGTAACTTTGCGCCTCTTTTGTTTTTCAGTCCTTCCACCTGCAGCCCACCGGCACCCCGGGGACCTACTATCTCCAGACAACATCCAGTCAGGGCCTGCCGTTGAGTTTAGCCAATAACAGCACAGTCACGCTGACGACCAGCTCCTCTCCCGCGTCACACGAACACATCATCCTTCACAGCCTGTCGGTGAGTTTGAGATGTTTCTGCCTTTTGTTGTTTCTTGTCACCTTTGATTAGGTGCCGTGTTTTCAGCCATGTGCTATTTGTATGTAGGTAACACACAGTATCTGCAGCTCTTTAGTTTTAAAAATGACTGAACGGTCCTCTTTGCGGTCCCTCCGAGTCTCTTTGCAGTCTTTAGTGGTATATTTGAGTATACCATCTGTAGGCAGAGACCAGCCAGTCCTTCTGGTTGGCTTGAGTCTCTGGGGGATAGTTTTGCCTGTCCTTATAGTCTTTTAACTGAGCTCTAAAATATTGACTTTCACTTTATACAGGGGCCTGTAAAGTCTGTTTGTGTGTTCATACGAGGTTGCATTATTTGATGGCTTAGGTTACTAAAGGTTCTAATTACACACACACACACAAAGTAGTGGCATATAAATTTGTGTGACACTTGTGTTTTTCCTTCCTCAGGCTGATGGCCTCTGCTCCAGCGATGGTGTCATCATTCAAACGGTGACCTCTGACCCCACCTCCTCTGACCCCCTTGGCCAATTACAGCTGGTTGTGGAGACAGAGGGGCGGAGCCAGGATGACCGCCTCGATGCAGCAAGTCTCCTGGAGGGGTCCGAGAGCGTTGTCATGGAAACGCAGGAGCCAATGACAGATGATTTCACTGACAAGGTAAAAACACTGACCATGGTCCTTTGGTTTTATTTCTGTCTTTGCAAACTTTGATCCAAATTATTAATATTGAACGTTTGAGTCATAATCTGTTACTTACATGCTCCTGTATAATAGCTGCACAATACATGTGCTTTAAATTTGAAAGCCTCTGCAGTCCCGGCATTCTCTGGATTGCTTTATTTTATACACAGTAGACTGCTGACTTATCACAGATGACTTATTAGTGATGATTAAACTGATTCTTTTTGCTTTGGCTGTTAACATGGAGTTTCTTTTACTGGATAACCAGTGCACCTTCTTCCTCCTTTTTTGCCTTGTCGATGTTTATTTGTACCTAATAAAGTGGAGAGTGAGTGTATAATGACATTAACAGTTTGTCCCCAGTAACCCTACAAACAAAGTCTGATTACAGATTGTTTAACTGTGTTTGTGGAGGAAAGTAAGTATATTTACTTTTTAATTTGAGGGCACTTTAATGTTACTTGTGTTTCTGTTTTCAGCTACTTCATACTTCTACATTTCAGAGGGTTGGGTTCCTAGGGATGAAATGAGTATTATTAGTTAGTAGTATTAAAAGTAGGTACTGTAGGTCCACTTCGAGCAGCTGCAACAGCTAAATGTTGCCTGAGAAAAGATGTGTAATAACAATAACAAGTATATTCTCATGTAGTGGTCACAAGGGACATTCTTTTTTTTTTTTTTTATTGTAACACAAAATAGCATGTTAACAAAACAAGGCAGGACAGGGCAACAGACACAAGACAGGGTTTTACATTGGTGGTGTGTGTGAGTCTGTGAAGTGCATGTCATATGCAGTCAACAAAACAAAAAATAAAATAGCATTTGAAAAAGGAGGGTGGAGAGGAAAAACATGATAAATGGGGCATGAGGTGGCGCTGAGGGGGGTTTGAACCAACAAATAAGTAATAAAGACAGGGAGTGTGTAGATGATATTTCTGCTCCGAATCCCAAGCACTGCAACAAGACGAGGTCACCACCGACAGACACTGACAGACGAGGATAATAATGACAAAAATGCTACTAATAAAAGCAGATTATTGTGTCTTTAGGAGTCTGTGTGAATGTGCGTAGCCTCACCCCCGGGTGTTTGGTTCAAGTTCAGATGAGTTAAAAGTGGTTTCCAGGTGTCATTAAAAGCTGATGTAGTGTTCTGTGGTTAGCGTTGTTGCCTCACAGCAGGAAGGTTCCGGGTTTGAGCCCTGGTTGATCCGGGGCCTTCCTGTGTGGAGTCTGCATGTTCTCCCTGCATGGATTCTCTCCGGCTTCCTCCCACAGTCCAAAGACATGCGGCTTAGGTTTACTGGTGACTCTACATTGCCCGTAGGGGTGAGTGTGGGTGTGTGCGGTTGTTTGTCTACATGTCAGCCCTGTGACAGACTGGTGACCTGTACAGGGTTGAACCCTGCCTCTCGCCCAATGTTAGCTGGGGTTGGCTCCAACCCCGTGTGTCCCTATTCAGGCAGTATAGATAGTTGATGGTATTCTCTCTAATGTGATACATTCTGATAGGTTGGTCCAGTGATACCTTTGTTTTCCAGTTGTGAAAGACATTCTTACTGATACTTTAGCTACACTTAACTAATAATAGTTTTGTACGTTTATGTTGTATTGGTACCCTTACTGATGTAAATACATATTTGTGTGTCAGGGGCTGAGTTCCTCCTCCTCTGAGGGTCCAGCGGTGCATCCTGGGATACCATCTGGCAGTGCCGTGTTGATTGTGTCTCCTCCCAACATTAGCAGCACACTGACAGGTAACACAGACAGAGGTCTGTAGGTGAGGACAGGGCTCCTGTGGCTCTCTGGTGCAGTGTTTAGCTCTTAGGGTATTCAGGTATTTGACACTAGACTGCAAACAGATGCAGGGGGGCAAGTGAGGGCATGACAAGCAACAAAGGAATCAAACCATGCACTTTGCAGTGTTGTGGCGTGCACTGTAACATTTATTTATAAAACTATGGGTAATTCTCTTTGCAGAAGGGTTAAATTAACATCCGACCTTTTTTGGCAGTGTGAATTCTATCGACGTCAATATGATACTGGATTTTCGGTATCTGTACTTTTTGTTTGATACCTTAGTTTGGAGAACGTGTTTTAACTCTTTCATTTCAATTAACGCAGCTGTAATCCACATAAGAACAATAATGACAAACGATGTAAAAACAAAGAGGTCGTGAAAGTTGTCGTTGGAAGTGATGAACCTCTGGGGAGTGAATGGTTAATGTTAGCAGTGGTACAGTCTCTGGCCTCCAGGATTACAGACACAAACAGAAACACAGTGCTACTCGGCACAGCGTCACCTAAACTGTCAGAGACCATGCAACTTATGGATAAAGACAACTTCATGATTTGTTCACTTGTGGTAAGAATCTGATCAAGCATGGGCTTACTTTCTAAGAGAAGCCATAACTCAAATCCGCCAATAAATGTTAAAATTTACAGTTAAAACCTGGATATCGTTCTCTGTCTGTGCTCTCAGATCCAATCTTGGAGAACCAGGAAGGCTCTGACTGAGCTGGGCTCAGCAGATGGTGGTTAAGGAGCCTGTTGACCTGGCACCTGTCTGCTTCTGGAACTGTGAGTTAAAGTCCCAGACCTGTCTCCTGTTTAAACCAGGATGTGAACATCTTTCAGACACACTGGTGTGGTCGTACATGGAATGGAACTTTTGAACCTGTGTGAAGCTTCGTGTGTTCAAAGCGTCACACTGAACCCCTGGACAAAATGTGAATGAAGCGCTGCGCTTACCTGGCCGTCAGCGGGTGTCCTCACAGCCTCGCAGTGCCAAAGAGACCCTAAAGGCTGTGATGGATGCAAGTCTGCACACTGATCAGGCCTGAATGTGAACTGATCTGCAACCCTTAAATACATGTTTATACATACATATATTTATGTAAACATGAAGAGGAAATTCTTAGTAGAAACTGAGTGATTAATAAATCCACTCTGGTGTAAGGAGCTTGAATTTTAAACGGTCTCTGCGTGATTACTTTTTCTTCTACTTTTTGCTTTTTAATGAACTCGTGGGGACATCAGACTTTTGCGCAAAAGCGGATTAAGTCAAAAATGATTTTAAACTGATCTGATCTTACTCTGTCAGGTGGAAACATTTGGTTACCAGGATGACAACAGAAATAAAAAAATAATAAGCCATCAGGAAAGTGAGACTGTAAAAGCTCAAGAGTTGAGATTTGTCACCGTGAAGCCAGTTTTAGTTCTGGTTTAAAAGTAAAAAGCTGCATCCTATTTATTAGCTCCTCATACACTTTGCATATCAAATACTGCTGTATGATAACTGTCAGATAATGTAGTGGAGTACACAGTATTTCTCTCAGATCTGTAGTGTAGTACGCAGCAGCAGAAAATGAAAATACTCAAGTACCTAAACACTATACCTAGGGTCAGTACTTGAGTAAATGTGGTTAGTTACAGCCCCCCCACTGGCTATGGGAAGGCCTTTAAACGTTTGCTGAGAAAATGAAGAGGCAGTCAGGGTACACAATTATTTATTCTGTAAAATATTAAATAAAAAAAGAGACACAGCTTTGACAATCCTAAAGTTGCGGCGAGGTTGGCTTGTGCCATGCACTGATCTCTGGTCAGTTGTTTGCTCGGTTTACCACAGAGCTTCACTGCAGATCAAGATGGCGGTTTGCCTGCCATCTTGGGCTTGTCATGACAGCTGTAGGCAGAAACAACACAACACCAGGCTTTTTAAAATCTTAATTTTGGTCAGCCCAGTTTTCTTTGAGCAGCTTGAACTCCTCTGGATAAGGGAAGAGAGACCGAGTCTGACTTAGTGAGGAGGGACTGATTTTAACTTTGTCCTTTTGTCCAGATGAACCAAACTTTAGTGAAAACCCCTAACCCACGTGAGACATCAACCCTCTGTACGTTTCTCTGTGATTTGGTCGCCTAAGTCGGCTTTATCCTGTATACACTGTGCAGATGCTGGCACTTCTTTGTTACTCAACTAGTGGCGTCACAGTTTGTGTGAGCATTGAGTGACACCACGAATGTCTCTCAGGGTTTTTAAAGCCCTCCCTCCTCTGTGCCACGGTCAGCACCACCCACACCCCCATCCCTTGTTCAAGCATTATTCCAAGTTAGTGCTTGTGCTAAACCGTAGTCACACCATGGTTTCTTTTATTGTATTATACATTTGTAAATATTCAAGTGGAATGAGTGGAAGTATCTGTGCTAATATTGGATTTGATTTTGATGTACCTGTCTGCAGTGGTGCAACAGTTTACTGAGAGTCTGCTCTCTAAGCAGGAATTACAAGAGAGAGGTGGACATACCAGTTTGACCACTCAGCTGCTTGTAATTACAATTTAAAGGATACAAATGCAACATTTCCAGCTTCATGAAGCTGCTAGTGAAGCTGCTGAGTGCTGTTTCCTACACAGACTTTAGAGGAACACTATGTGACCAAATCACAGAGTGACGTACAGGCCACACTGACGTGGGTGCGTTCTGAGTCACCTTCCCCAAAGCAGCTACGATGTTCCAAACCGTGACGACATACAATAAACATTTTTACAAATGTAATTCCCACTGCATTTTAAAATGGCAGTTTTGTGCGAGCGACACAGAGAAGCTCAGATTTGTGAGAGCGGGATTAACAGTGCAAACATCGGATGGCAGACAAATCGACATGATGTGGAAACCTCAACATAAGCAGCTTCAGTGCAAAGCCATGTGAAAAGCTACCCATTCATTGGTGCTACAGCTGGCCCGAGTGTGTGCATGCGCGCACGTGTGGCTTAGGAAAAGTGTAATTCAGCTACATTTAGTGCAAAAATTGGTAGTGGCTGAGACTTCATTTGGAAAATTAATTAAATCCAACCAAGATAATCAGATAAATTGAAGAAGCAGAGAGAAAAAGAAAATAAACAGTTGCATATATTTGTCACAGAACCCTGATGCCACCTGTGCTGTTGCTGTGCTAGCTAGCTACAGTTCTGCAGGGAACAGGAGGGTCCACCACCCTCCTCCTGCTTCCTTTGGTGTGTTTACATGCGCATAACTTTGATTGGGGTTCAAGTAAAAAGCCTCCCTGTTAAAATCTGAGCAGTTAAAACCAGCAGTTGTCGCTGATTAATGACAACAACAGGTTAAGGTTGCAAGAGCAAAGTCCTTCATTGGTCTAGTCTGAGGTATGACATGGTCTCATGATGTTTCCTGCCATTACGAGTCCCCCTGAATGCACCACTACTGACAAGCCGGCAGCAGATTTTAGGATACACTGGCTGTGTCTGCAAAAGCTGGAGGAAAGGCATTTTAACTAATAATACAGCCACAGCTACATCCTGTTTGTATGAACTGGCTGCTCCCCTTGTAATTTAAAGCCTGTTCTCAGCCACGTTCCTGTTTTTTTTTTTAAAGTGAATCTCTGTTTTTTCTTTTTAAATAAATCAGCTCTGTGTGAAATCTTTCTTTTGTGTGAAAAGACAAATGTTTTTGCTGAGCTGACAGAACACCTTCTGTGTCTGCACTTCTACTCCCTGGCGCCCCCTGCTTTTGTCTCCCATTGAGATGTGGTTAAAACATCATCCACCAGAGTTAGAGGAGAGGAGCTCAGTGAATATGTCACTACCCATCTGCCCCGTGTTGTTAAGCGATGCGTTTTATTGGAGTTTAGAGGAGCATCTGAAATGAACCAATTTGTGGCATGCTTAACATATTGCTATATGACAAGAGCTGAAAACAGTACTTTCCCCTGACAGTTAATCAGCCACTTAAGGGCAACGAAAAATATAAAAAAAACAAATGACCAAATTCATATCAGCATAACATTGCAAAGATTGGACCTACAGTAAAAGGGCAGCCTAATCACATCAAACCCATTGTGCTCTCCAGTCAGTTTAGGTGCTTCAGGATACGACCGTAGATAAAGATGCTTCTGTGCATGTAAACACACCTGTCTCTTCAAAGTTCTTTCTCCAGCAGTGCAGTGGCCTCTTACAGTTCGCCAAATTGTGAATGCTGTGACACTGTGTGTGTGTGTGTGTGATTCGGCACCGGGGCAGTTTTCATCCCACTGGAACCATCAGGTCTAACTGGTTCTGGTCCTAGAGTCCTCTGCAGGTCCAGTGGCAAATTCATTCAGGTTATTGTGTGAAGGTTTATCTCTTTGGTCACGTTTCTTCCACTGTTGGTTCATGTAGTCCTTCCATGCCTACTTCCACCTTTCAAGGCCAGGTCTTCCCTCCTTCCTGGTCCCATCTTTACCTGACATCATGGAAGTAGAGGTTGGCACACAGGCACAGCAGCATGATGGATGCCAGCATGTAGTAGATCAGATTCCTGAATTTTGGTTCCAGGTCGCCCTGCCGGTACCAGAATATCTGAGAAAGAGAGAGACAGGGATTTGAATTTGAATCAGATGTTCTTGTAAATTTCATTTTCACTTTAGGGGAAACGGGGTCCTCTAGTGGTGAGGACGCTCAGGAAAAGAACGCCAAGGTTCATTCTTGACAGTGTGAGAAACTCAAGAAGCACTTGTTGGATTTTTCTGGACACACCGAGTTTGTTCAGTTGTCATCACATGACCTAAATACACAGCTGTGCTCCCCCATTCTATGCTGCATTAATCTGGTGAGCAAAATTAAGATGATGTATTTTCTGTGAGGAAAACGAAACTGAATCTACATAAAAGATAATGTTAGAAAACAAAAACTGACAATGGAACATTTTTATCAACAAATAAAAATGAGAATGTGAAAGACGGACAGACAAATGAATTATTTTCTGTTTTAATGCAAAGTGTGCTGCATCTGTTGAATCACACACTGTAGTGTCTTGTTCAGAAACTGATTTAGCTACTTGACACGCAGCACTGTTATCAGAAGCACCGCTCAGTAGCTTTGTCTCTGTCGGTGATGTTATCTGATGAGCAGATTTATCAACTCAATTGGTCAACAATCCACTGAGCGTTGGACAAGAAGCAGCAACGAAACAGCTGGGACAAACTGCAAGAACATGCTGACATTTATGAAAACCTAAGCTAACGTAACAAACTGCGTTAAATGAATCAAGCAGCTTGAAAAGTCCAACATCTACAGCATTTATCAGTGTGATATAACTCCTGTGTGTGTTTCACCAGCACTATAGTGGATCCACAGGCCAACAGGATGCACACGGCAAAGAAGATGTTAAGCGGCCGTGGAGGCCACGAGGGAAACACGAATGAGCCGATCACAGTCACCTGGAAGACACAAATGTTTGTAATTAAATATGCTGAATTTCCAAAGGTTTTCTACAGCGGTTCTGAAACACAGAGTCAGGAAATGGAACAACTGAGTAACACGTTTTATTTGGAGAAGTAAAAACAGTCGAGTCATTTCAGCTGCAAACACACTTTTCCAGGGCAGCAGTGATTTTCAACATGACCAAATAAAAGCAGAAATACCGCAGTGTAAAAATACAGGTATAATTTTACTGAAGTGGAAACACAAGTGTATCAGCATCTACATATACTTGAAAGTAGTCATTATGCAGAACGGCTGATTTCATTAGATCCTAGTGACTGATGCTTTATTGTGTTCATCACTTTAATGCTGCAGCCAGTAAAGCTGGAGCTGATGAATGTGAAGAACTGAACTCCTTACCAGAACAACCACAGACGTGAATCCACCCACTGCCAGGTTGATGATTCGATCCTGTGAGAAAGAGACGTTTAATACATTTTTTATGCATTTTTCTCACAGATCTACAAATGAACAGGCAGAGCCAAAATTTAATAAATGAATGTTGCTTTCATTATCGATTAATCAGCTAATTATTTTCTCAATGGTTCTGTCCATAAAATCAACTCTAAAGCACATGTCATCTGTTTAAACTAACTTCTGTTCCCCCACCCCCACTCAGAGCAGCAGCAGGTGTGGGCAGATGCCAGAGGTGCTGCAGTGACTGTGAAACAGTGACATCTCAAACGGCTAAAGGCACAATGTGCACGATTACTGGCGTTTAAAGTCCTGCCTACGCACTGCCACCTCCTGCAGGTTCCTACCCGAGCCGAGGTCTCCCCGAACAGAGGCCTGCTGTCCAGGCCGCTGGTGCCGTACGTCCTGGTGGCAAAGTCGTCCATGGCCGGCTCAGCAGACTTGCACTCAGCACCAACCCTGTCAGCAGCGCCCCCTCCTGGCAACACTGGGCCAGTGCTGCATGCTAGGTGGCTGGCCTCCGCTCAGTGCCTGCACACTGATGGGGACATCCTGGTATCGGACACTCTGCTGGCCAGGTACAGGCTTCTTACTTTACCTGTGTGACAAAAAAGATGCATTTTAAGTCTGGCACACAATGTCAGGATTTTCTGCAACATCCTGCCCTGATTGTAAAACCCCAAGTTACATAACAGACATGCACCTCGTTACGCAAGTGTGTTGGAAACCTGTCATCTGCCCTAGTGACATTTCTATATCTGCAACCATAGCAGTCCCATAATTACTTAAATTATATCAGCAACTGAATTCCTAATTGTTCAATTTAATCACAACAGAATATATTTAACATTAAAGTTTAAATACCAGTGAATTTGAGTCAATTTCAGCTTTATTTTAAAATCAGAAAATTCATGTGCTTATTATTGTAAAGCTTCAATGAGATCAATTCAACTTAAAAACACATTTTCTTAAGTAATGTTTTTTCCAATCATAAAATTATTTGTTATTTTCTGATTGTGTTTTTGGCTTGTTTGCCTTATCTAGTTTCAGAGTGTCACGGTGCGATTTAATATATTTTTATAGCCTTTGTGTTTTAAAACAGCTGAAATGTTATCACTTTATCAATTAGCTGATTCGCAGGAAGTGATAAATCAGGATTCATCTCCGTCTCTTGTTGTTTTATTTACTGCCAAGTGAAACCACTGTGACTTTTTACAGCACCAAAAAAATAAGTGAATTAATTAGAAGTGGTGCAAAATGTTTGACCTAACTTCACATTTCTGCTTTTACATTCTACACTGGTTCTCGGTTCCATGTCTATGGTCTTATTTAGATTTTAAAGCATTGTTTAGGGGTTTACACTAATAGCAGTGTTTCAGATTATTTATATGGTAACTTTACAGAGGATTGTCAGGCGTACAGTATTACAATGAAAAGATAAACGTTCAGCTGTCTCCTGCTGCTTGAAACGCGAGGATTTGTTGTAAAACAAGATACAACTAGAGAAAAAAAAGCAGTGTTAACAGACACAGTCGTATTTGTACCGGTTTCTTTGACGCAGGACAGCGTTTCGGTTATATGGTCGACCACTGCTGATCCAAACCAGACAGAAAACAGATTTTTGTTGTTCTAGTTCCTTCTGCTTCACTTCCTCAATTTCCAGGTGCGATAACAAACCACAGTCAGACCCATCTCTGAGAAAATAGTTACGACAGACGAAAAGGGGAAGTTTAAATCAGAACAAAATCAACTTTCTTCACACAGTTTCAGCCTTGAGTCTCAGTTTGAAGCCGTTATCTGACCAAACAAGTGCGTCCGATGGCCGAGCTGCTTCACACTGGATGTTAACTCTCTAATGGGATTTCAGTGGAAGTGATGGGGGACAAAACCCAGTTTTCATTGTGTGTCTGAAGTCTTTTCAGTACTAAATGTCCTGTTACTATTTTATAAGCAGTTTACACTGAAAAGATTTAAATTTTGGAAGACACCCAGATGATTTGTCTACCTCTGAACACTGAAGCCTCATATCTCAACATATCCCGAATTCTTGTTTATTTAAAGTAACATCCATCCATCCATTATCTAATCTGTTTTTCCTGAATAGCAGAAAAAAAATAGAAAAAAAAAATAGCAAGAGGTGGGGTCCACCCTGGACAGGTCGCCAGTCTGTCACAGGGCTGATATGTAGACAAACAACCACACACACTCCTATGGGCAATTTAGAGTCATCAGTCAACCTAAGCTCACCCAAAGCGGCTTGTCTTTGGGCGGGGGGGGGGGAAGCTGGAGGGGACTCACGCAGGCACAGGGAGAGCATGCACAGAAAGACCTCGAGTTGGCCTGGGACTCAAAACCCGGAACATTTATTTAAAGCAACACTTAAGTGAGCTCCAGGTACATTGTTTCCTTTCTCAGTGTGTTACGAGCAGCTGAACTTGGTCTACGCTTACTGGAAACACGTTTTCTGGCCGTTACAGTACCAGCGAGTCAGTGACTGAGCCCTTTTTGTCATTGCTTGTCCTCAGGCGCTTTCAGGGAAAACACAACCTCCCCTTCATCTTCCTCGTTCAAAAACAAAGCAGCAGGTTTGGTTTGCATTTTTAAAACAGGAAATGTTCCAGGTTCATTTTGTAGTCTTTCTATCCTGCCATGCTGCAGCTCCATTGATAAAATGGTTGTTTTACAGCTGAACTCCTCTGACAGCAAGTTAAATAATCAACTACTTTGATAACTGAATAATCATTTAAGTATTTTTTCTTAGCAAAAATATTAAACATTCACTAGTTCCAGCTTTTCCAATGTGAGGACTTGTTTTTTTGTGTGTGTAAACTGAATATTTTGTTGAACAAAACAAGACACAAAGGTGTCATTTTGGATTTTTGAAAACTGTATTTATTGTCCACAGATCAAATAACTAATGAATCATAAAACAGTCAGATTAATCAATAATGAATGTAATTGTTATTTGGAGCCCCTGATTACTGAATCGGTGTTTAGTGCCCGGTGTTTACGACAGAATCAAATTATTGTGATATTAATTTTAGGCATCTCTCCTAGTTTTCTTCTGAAAATCAGTTTAGGGACAGCATTTCATTCCAAGGTGATGAGACTCTTCATACAGTACGTTAAGGCCATGCTGAATTTAAATGATCTCTGAGCTGCAAAATGTTTATCGAATCTCTGGATTTTCAGGTAAAACACCTTCTATGAATCATTATTCCCTCTGAGCATTTGCTCTTCAGCTCAGAAGAACAAGTTCTTATTTTATAAAGCCCTGGGACCTGTACTTGGACAACATAGGAACTAAAACGGCTTAAGGGCTAATTACGAGACAGAAATGTAGCCTGAAAAAAAAAACGACTCGATCAGTAAAAGTCAGTACAGTATTGCAATATACTGCTCAGTGATCATACATGAGGTGTTTCTTTTCAAATACAAACATGTTTGGACAAACTGGCCTTGTATCTGTGACCATTCAGTGCAGAGCTGTAACAATTAGTTGATCAATATACCGAACCACAAATATTCTGCATTTTGGATTGTTGGTCAAAACACAAATCAAGGCCTCTGAAGACGTCACCTTGGTCTGTGGGAAGTTGGAAAGTATTTTTCGCTATTTACTGTCTTTTTATAGACAAAAGATTAACGGAATCATTAAACGACTGATCTGCATATTAACCGATAAAAATAATCATTAGTTGCAGCCCCCCAGGTTCTGCTGCAGTAAATGTGTCAAACAAGCTGCAACATTTATTCCGCTCCGACACTTCAGCCAGCACAAATTTGGACTCAGAACAATGAGAACTTGCTGCAACATCCTACCTCATCAGTAAAACCACAAAAACAATTTGCATTTAACTGTACTATGACCAAAGCCCCAGAGAGAAGCAGCTCATCACACCTGCAGAAGTAATATTTTCCCTGTGACATGGATGGTTCAGTACCAAGAAATGGTTTTCATGCTTTCCCCAAATATCATGATATTTCAAAACCAGCACAACCAGACTAAGAGAAGCGCCTTTCACTCAAAGTAGAAAAGAAAGGGCAAAGTCGAGGCTTGGCTCGCCCACTTCCCTTGTGTTTTCCACACAAGGCATCAAACCCACAAAAACAAACCCTCTCCATCGAACTCCTTTCAGAGAAGCGACTTCACAGGACATGTGCACACAACACTTCTAGAAAGGTTAAAAACGCTTCTTACGTTGCAGCTTGATACCATCATGTCTTCAAACAACAGTTTTCACATAGACAGCAAAGCCACCTGTGGGTAGCTCTTCCTTTGTGGGTGGCAGGGCAGTGGAGAAGGAAACAAAACTCTGCAGTAAACACACAGTGGGAACAAGAGCTTCATTATAAACTAGCACAAACCTAGCCTAAAGCTACAGTCCTCCAGAGCCGTGTGATTCACTAGGCTCCTTAAAGAGAGAGCCCACAGCTTAACCCAGCTAAGAAAAATACTTGGTTCGCCCGAAGTACGTCCCACAGTGTAGCAATACTCTGTTAAATCCTTGAGACTGTACAGAAACAAAGTTATTCATGCAGCCCTTTTCCAACAGGTAAATAAAAGGTAATTATATTAGTTTCAGCATACGCTTTGGATATGCTTTGTACTGGGCTAAAGTTATTATAAGACCTCTGAATATGACACATCAGTTGCTCTAGAAAGCAACTAAGTCCAATCAGATCTACAACTTTTCATTCTCAAATTAATGCAGCAGTTTAATGATCAATCAGTTCGCCTTTTAGTCCTCAGATCTATAAGCAATTCTGAGAAATGTTTTGTCTGATCCACTGGCAAAAACCATATTCAGTTTAGTGTTATAGAAGACAAACAAAACCGACAAATATTCACGTCTGAAAAACTGAAAAACAATGCCAAGCATTAGTTTGGCATTGTTTATAAACCCTCCTTATATTTCAGTATTAATCTTATTTACATAGTGACTATAGAACTGCGAACTTTATTTTGTTGTACTTATGCAGATCCACTACTAAAGCTGAAAACACGCTGTTAGATGCGTTTGCTCATAAACTGACTTCTCACCCTAGTATTGTTTTACATACAGACAAATAGTCCAACAAAGTATTATTTATCCAGCCATCAGTAATAGTTTAGTGTGAACTCTCACAATTGGAAATAAACTTTAATTCCAGTCTTTTTGACAAACAGGAGGTAAACATCAGGCCGCGAGTCACCAACACGACGATAAACAGGCTGAGACTTCAAACTGCAGTCTTAGCTTAATTAGGAAACAGACTATCATGCTAACAGCTACGTAAATACCTTTAACTTCACCCAAACTGCTTGTTAGTCATCCAAGTTAACTTAGCTCAGTGTAAACACATCGCTGTCCACATGTCACGTGTAGAATATGTGAAAGACTCATCATATTTCGTTATAAATCTCAGCCAGGTGTGAACAGGTGAGTGTAACGTCGAATAGTGACACAATGCTAAGTTAGCTAAGCCGAGCTTTACGGGGCCAACTCCTGGCTGAGATGCTAACGAAGCTAAGCTCACCACTCAGAAAGCTCGTCGACAATCAACACGTCTATGAAGTCGCTGCGAAGTCAGTTGTCCGCCTTCAGATTCACTTCCACACTTGCCTCACAATTCCGGGGCCGATTCCGCTGGAACCATAACTTCAGATGAGCCCGGCAACAGGGTCAGAACCGAAGCCCAGCAGCTTCGGCTCAAGCCGTTAAAGGCGAGTTCGCCTGAGCCGACCACGACACACGGAGCTCGCCGAACTTCATCAACAAATCAAACCACTGGACCCTGTCTGGTAGAAATACAGGCAATACGGAGCAGCGGACTACGATCAGACGGAAATATAACCTGAACAGTCAGGATGAATTATTTCAATGAGCCAACTTGCAAGACCGGTGTTGTGACGAGGTCTGCTCCCCCGTCGACATGCCCCCTCTCCCGTTAAAGCGCTGTTTTTAGTAGCGCCCCTCGGCGGTTATGGTAGCATATTAGCAAAAAATGTAGAATGTCACAAGCTATAACTAAAAGCTTTTTCCCGAGAATAAAATACATCGACATACGATTAAAAAATTAAAATAAAAGTGTCAGACAGTTCTAGTGCATTGTAATCTGTAGCCAGGCCCCTACTTCACAAATGATTACATAAAATTATGAAATGGATTGTGGCGTGAGAATGGCACACGGTGTAGACTTTAACCTGCATTAACCTGTTACTTTTTCAAAATAAATATAATTAATAACATAATGTGATGTAAGTGGGACTAATGTTGTATTCCTGGCGTCCTGTAGTTAATAAACCTTTCACTCCAGAGCAGCTAAATAAAGGGATATGTTGTTGATCTGGGGGAAAAACCTCAGATCAGCCTGGGGCCTCTGTAATCTCCCCCCTCATGTTACTGTCACATGAGCAGAGCGTGACAGGACCAGCAAAAGAAAACCTAAGCTGCATTTACTTAAACAGGTCACGAATGTCATGAGCTCTCTCCTGCAGCTAATATAGAAGAACATCCAGGTGGCTGCAGTGACAGAGAACAAACACAACTTAACCTGATGTCTTATTCAGCTCTGACCTTTTACTCCAGTAAACTTAATAATACCATAGTGTAGGAACACTTTGTTACAAATTAAAGTCCTGCATTTAAAATTTACTTAAGTGTGTATGAGTTAGCATCAATGTGTGCTTAAATTACAAGAAAATGTAGTCATTGTGCAGAATGGCCTGTTTCAGAAAAACCTGAAATTCATTTTTATTGGTGCATTATTATGTAAATGTATATTACTTAAATGTTGCAGCTGCTAAGGAGCTAGGTTTTTCCTATGTAGTATAATCTGCTGGGTAGTTTGTGAATTCCCAGTACCTTATGATATCGTGTCTTTATCCATAATAATAAATTAAATGTAATTGTTTATTTCCTTTTGTATTATTTATTTGAGTCCATAAAAGTAGTTCAGGCTATCAAGTACATGTAGTTTAGTACAAAGTACAATATTTTCCTCTGATTTTCAGTAGCAGAAGTAAAGTACCTCAAATTATGCTAAAGTACAGTACCAAATGTATTTAGTTACTTTCCACCACTGTTAACTGGCCTGCTACAAATGCTTGTACTGAAGTATCCTATTGCGATTTCTTAAAATCTCTTTCATTGAATGGAGATTGGCTTCTGTCTAGACAACACAACAGAACAGAAGGCAACGCATACACTAAAACGTACATCCTGCACTCTAAATCATCAACATGTCTCCTGGACCCCATCCCGACCAGGCTGCTCAAAGATGTCTTTCTCCTAATCAACACATCCATACTAGATCTGATTAACCTCTGTCTATTAACAGGTTATGTTCCACAGGCTTTTAAACTTGCAGTAATTAAACCTCTACTCAAAAAGCCTACTCTTGACCCAGGTGTCCTAGCTAATTATAGACCAATATCCAATCTCCCATTTATTTCCAAAATCCTTGAAAAAGCTGTTGCAAAGCAGTTATGTGACCACTTGCACAAGAATGATTTGTTTGAGGATTTTCAGTCAGGATTTAGAGTCCATCATAGTACAAAAACCGCATTGGTGAAAGTCACCAATGAAATGTCCACACAAGAAAGGTGTTCCATCAGGGGTTGGTTCGCACAAGTATATAAAGACAAACACACACGCACACACCACATGTCAGGAATCGGCGCGTTATGCTGCCAAAAATGTTGAGGGTGAACTCAATTAAAAGGCCAGACAAGGAAATGTAAAACAAAACCGTCTCTTTAATAAGAGAACTAACGCTAAACGAGAGGAGAAATCGCGTTTCTGCGATACGACAAATTAGTGACCCGACCTCGGAACCAGAATCCTGGACCCATGACCAGCACGCCGAGGCAAGGAGAGAATGAAGGGACCGCTGGACCCTCACCGGTGTGAAGAAACAGACAGGTATTTGATATCTGCGATGGCAGATGAGCTTTGGAACCAATAACAACAAGCATGACCCATGGACGAAATGAGGCAAGTGATTTGTTACAGAAGTTAATAGTTTTTGAGGGACTGGATCTGGAACTAAACACATGTGGAGACACTGAAATTCATTATCATGAACCGGACGATGGCTTTGACCCTGAAAAAAACTTTTTCAAGAACTTTGAAAATAACTGCAAGTATTACACGGATGAGCAGTTTAACAGCAATGTCAAGACTGAAAACAAATTATCACTAATTCACTTTAATAGCAGAAGTCTATATGCAAACTTTCAGAGTATAAAACAGTATCTTAGTAGTCTAAAACATTCTTTTAATATAATTGCTATTTCTGAAACTTGGATTAATAATGTAAGGGGAATGGATTTTGACCTTGAAGGGTACGACTTGGTATGCACAAACAGAGAGATTAAGATGGGAGGTGGGGTGGCCTTGTACATAAATAAAAACTTTTGTTATAAAAAAGTTGAGGAAAATGTCTAGGGTGCTGGAGAATCTTCTAGAATGTGTGACGGTTGAATTACTTTTGGGAAAAAAGAAAAATGTTGTAATAAGCTGTATTTATAGAGCACCTGGTGCCAGTATAGAAAAATTTAATGACTGGACGGAGGAGAATTACACGACAATAAGTCATAAATTAATGTTCATATGTGGTGACTTCAATATAGATTTGTTAAATCCTAACAAGCACTCAGGAACTGAGGAGTTTATTAATACATTATATAGATGCAGTTTAT